ATAGACACACTGGAGCACGTGGGCCTCTTCACTGCGTGCCAAGCTCAGCCACCTCTGAGTCAGCACCCACTCCTGTGAGAGGGCATACAAGATGTTTTTTACAGCACCTGCAAAATACAGCTGTGGGTTCTTTCTTTAGGTAACATATATTTCTGTGTTTTTTGAAGTGATGACCTGTTTTGTGCTTCTCACATACCAGCAAAACAAAATTCCCTTAGAATCGAAGACATTTTAAACATGTCAAAAAATACATGAAGTTGAGAATTCTCTAAGGCACAGGAATACAGTTTTTAAGAGGGTAGAGAAATAAGCAAAATGACCCAGACATAAAACTTACCCTAAGAAAGAAAATAGCTGGGAGTGGAAAACCAATTCTTCAGAGGACAAAGATAGGAGAATAATTGGTTCAGAAGAAACACTTCCACCTGAAGTAGAGAAAAAGCAGGTTGATAACCCTTGTGGAACTATGAAGGAAGAGAACCAGTGCTGTCTTCATAATCATGGAGGCTGGGATGGCCCTCAGTATTAGAGACTCTATTGTGGATGTTGAAAGAGTAGAAGAAAAGGAAGTCATTGTTCACTTGGAAAGGAACTAAAATGTCTTCAGGCCAAAGAAAATTCAATACTCGAATTGAAACTATGAGGGAAAAAAAGATAAATGAAATGCTAAAAAACAAAAATTTAAAACTTTTAGAGAAATTATTGAAATAATATGTATTCCCCAAATTATTGAATGTATTTACATTTCTGTGTCTATTAAACCTATGTATCATTTCAAAATAAGTGAAGTCAGCGATAGTCTTTCCCATTTCTACATACAGATCTATAGGTATGTATTGAATATTTACACATATCAAATGTGATACCTGCAGACAGTACCCAACGCTATTTAAAATCGCTAAACAGCTAAGCTCTGGAGCAATTAGAGTTGGAATGAGAGATGTCTAGTGTTTACATGTATTATATTATACTTGGAATGGAATGGCATCTAAGTAATTTTGTGAATAGTTTATATTTGGACTACTTCTGGATTTTTTTTGGTCTCTGTTTCCAAAAGCAAGAAGAATAAAACTCCAGTATAGCAGATGATGGGTTATGGATTTGGAGAAATAAACAGATATAATAGCATTAAAATAAAAAGGCAATTCTTGGAGAAATTAGAAGTCTTTAAATGCCATTTATAAAGATTATGTATTTAAAATAGAAGAATGACAGCTTTTACACTAGTTTTAGTAGCATTATGCAAAAGAGAAACCACCCTAAGATGCCCCCAGAAACACTCTGGACAGAAAACATGGATATTTGGAAGAGAATCATTAGAAGCTGAAGGTTTTAGGAGGAAAGTACAGATCAGACTCTAAAGTAACATATTCCCTAGCCTAGCCCTATCTGTATGAAGACTTTCTTCTCCTTTTTTAATTTTTAATTTTTGTGGATATGTAGTAGTGTATATATTTATGGGGTACATGAGATGTTTTGATACAGACATGCTGTATGTAATAATCACATCATGAAAGGGTATTCATCCTCAAGCATTTATTCTTTCTGTTACAAACAATCCAATTAGCTATTTTTAATAATTTAAAAATGTACAATTAAATTGTTATTGACTGTAGTCACCCTGTAAAAATATGTATATATAATGCTTCACGAATTTGCATGTCATCCTTGCACAGGGCCATGCTAATTTTCTCGGTATTGTTCCAATTTTAGTATACGTGTTACCAAAGTAGCACTGTATAAAGACTTTCTTAAAAAGAATCAATTCCCTGTGAGCACAAATTTAAAGCAAAGTAAAATATTGTCATGCCATTCAGGAGATGGTGAGAGTTTCTCTGATCTTCAGAAATCGATTAAACTTTGTCTTGAAACTCGTATCAATTTCAGAGCCAATGGGTGCCCAAAGTCCACAGAGTAGGTGATGCTGGTAATGTGCCCATATTCCCTAACCAAAATTTCAACTCTAAGCACTTGCATATATTTTCCTTATTTGTTGGGGCCAGAGGTGCCAAGGAATCTCCTCTGTGAATAGTCCTCAAATAATGACCAACAAGAATTATATATAAATACCCTAGTTCCTTGGAAAATACCTCTGAATGGTGTGTTTTACATGGACTCCCCTTCCCTAACATGATGAAGTCCACATTCACAGTGGTAAATGACTTAATAATGAACATCTTTCAGTACCTTCTCTTCCTAGTCTCAGTTCCTCCCTGAGTTAGTTGTGGTTTTTTTCTCCTCCTGAATAAACAATTTGCACTACAGGCTGGGTGAGGTGGCTCATGCCTGTAATCCCAGCACTTTGGGAGGCCGAGCTGGGTGATTCACCTGAGGTCATGGGTTGAAGACCAGCCTGGCCAACATGGTGAAATTCCAGCTGTACTAAAAATGCAAAACTTAGCTGGGCATGGTGGTACATGCCTGTAATCCCAGTTACTCAGGAGAGTGAGGTAGAAGAACCACCTGAACCTGGGAGATAGAGGTTGCTATGAGCAGAGATTGTGCCACTGTACTCCAGCTTGGGCAGCAGAGTGAGACTCTGTATCAAACAACAACAGCAACAAACAATTTACACCAGAGTTCTTGTCTGTGTCTGCTTCTGGGGACACACAAACTATGGCACCTTCTCTGAGATTTGTATGTATTCCCTGGGTGATCACATTTGTATAGGCCACACATCCTCATAAGCTAACTCAGTTCCTCATCAGCAGAACTCAACTGCTTCTTCAGATTCCCAAAATAAATATTTTTGGGTGTATATTAGTCTGTTCTCATGCTGCTAATAAAATAAATATTTTTGGGAATCTGAAGAAGCAGTGGGGTTCTTCCACAACTTTTATAAATTCTAAAGGCTTTACTGAAAATTTGGACAGGCCTGACATGGTGGCTTATGCCTGTTATCCCAGCACTTTGGAAGGGCTAAGTGGGAGGACCACGTGAGCCCAGGAGTTTGAGACCAGCCTTGGAACCATGGAGGGATCCAATCCTTACAAAAAATTTAAAAAAGTAATTAGCTGGATGTGGTGGTCCATTCCTGTAGTCCCTGCTACTCCAAAGGCTGAGGTGGGAGGATCATTTGAGCTCAGGAGGTTGAGGCTTCAGTAAGCTGAGATCACTCTGGAAAGAACATTTGGAAGGCTCTCTAGAAGTAGTCAATGTGTACAATGTACATCTACTGTTCTTCTTCCCTAACTCTTCCTCAATCTCTCTTTTGCAGATTACTTGGGGGAACTCCCATTCTTCTCATTTCTAGAGAATAATTTCTTTCTTTCAGAGTTTAGGGCCAGTCAGCCAGCGTCTGGAAGTCCTACATACTATTCCAAAAATTTTGTGTCCTTTTCTCAAAGATAGTTGCATCCCTTAGAGGAATTCTGGAGTCAGTGGTTGAAGTAATAACAATGTTTTTTTNGCATGTTCTTATCTCTTTCTGACAATAGAAAATAGTTTCAACGCAGTCCACAGCTCCATACTAGGTAAAGTCAGAGGCACAGATAATTCCAGTCTCTGTGTGCTTTTGTGATTTGAAGGTGTTGCAAAGAAACTATGCATCTACTTCTTCCTTCTAGCAAGTCCTCTGTCTCATTTTCTTGAAAGTTCACTTTTTCATTTTTTCCTACGCTAAAATGACCAACAGTATATGGATTATTTTAGTGCAAATCTCCCAATTGTTATCTAGACCTAAATTTATAACTACCAATAGGTTATTAATTGGATATCCCACAGCACCTCAAACTCAACATTGTCCTAGTTGAAATCCCTTTGCTCTCCCTTTTTTATCATAGTCAGCTCACTGACTGGCAACACCAGCTATGCCAGTCTTCTTCAGAGTGAGATGCACAACCCACAGGGGAGCATCTAAAGTGGAGAAAGAAAATAGTAAAACATCAAGAATGAAACCAAGCTTTTCAGATAGTTAAAACTTGGATTGACGCTGGCTTCTGCACTGAGCTGTGAAAGAACGAGACATCCTCTAAGAAGCAGGAATCCACAGCGTGGAGCTCGTTGTGACGCCTTCACTCTTGCATTTGCTTTCAACATTTTGTGACACACTGCAGCTTTCCTGTACCTGATTAAGCTGATCTGGATTACACACCAAATGGAGAATTTTCTGAAAAAGATTTCTTCATTGAAAGCATGGTATAAGACAGAATTTAACTGTCTAACTTCAAACTCTGAACTACATTTGGGTCTCTAAATTCAGCAAACTCCAGTGTCTTCGCTCAGTCATTCTGCCCACACCTTAGTTGAAGCTCTCCTTACTTGTAATCTGGGTGGTTAGTAGATACTGTCCTCAACAGTCCTCCACCTTCAGTTTTACTCCTTCTGCAATCTACTATCTACCCTAAGTACACTCTTCATTTGATACGCATCATGTGATATACGTGCCATTCCCTTGTTTGACATGATTTGTCTCAGTAAGCACAGGTTGCTGTAATAAAATACTATGAACTAGATGGCATAAATAACAGAAATAGATTTTCTTACAGTTCTTGCATCTGGAAGTCTGAAATTAGGGAAGCAACATGATTGGGTTCTGATAAGGGCTCTCTTCCTGGCTTTCAGATCCAATTTCTCACTGTGTCCTCATGAGGCCTTTCCTTGGCACATGCACATGGAGAGGGAGAGATCTCTTTCTCCCCCTTCTTATAAAGCCACCATCCTATCAGATGAGGACTCTACCCTTATGACCTCATTTAATCTTAGTTATCTCCTAAAAGCCCTGTCTCTAAATAGTCACACTGTATGTGAGGACTCACCCCTATGGGATTGGGGAAGCAGGTATCATTCAGCCCATAGCATCATTCCTTAGTTCTCTATCTTCCATTTTGTTAGCTGCTTGGCTCCTGTTCATGGCAACGAAGACTCTCCATGAGCCCATGCCAACCTATCTCTCCTGACTCAATTCAAATCGTGTCTGACTCAGTATGCTGTGGCCCAAGCCCTGCTTACCGGTTCTCCAGAGTATACCATGTTTTCTCTGGATTCTCTGCCTAGTTTGTCGTCTTATGCCCAGTTTGAATAGTTTCTATTCATCCTTGTGAACAGGAAATAGGCACTTTTTCTCCAAGAATCCTGCACTAGTAATACTTTCTTTTTTTCTATTTCTTATTCCTTTACTGTAAGTCTGGGTTAGAGGCCCTTCTTTCTGCTCTCTGTGTAGGTTAATATCATATTACATTATAATAGTTTGTTTACTTGCCTGCCTCCTGTTAGATTATAAACTCTTTGAGGGTAGTGCCTGTGTTTTGTTATTCTGAATATTATTTCTATTCTCATTAGTTAATATTGGATGATTAGATGTTCATTAAATTTTTGTTAGTGTAAAACGTTTTTAGTATCACCTGTAACTGTATAAACTGATAAGTACAAAAATCAATGTGGTTGTTATAAACTACAAAGTCTCTTACTCTCAACAAATGTGTTGAATAATGTCACTGCACTTTATTGGACATGGGTATAGAGTGACTGGAAGGCAGGCAATAAGACACTGCTTAACTGTGCAGAAACAATGCCAAGGGCAGCGGGTGGGGGAGCAGGCAGAGAGAAGAAACATAAGTTGAATTTGTTATCATTGAACAAAGCAGAGTAACATATTTGGGAAGTTTTATCTAAACCACAGCTGGGTAACATCCCTCCGCCATCCACTAGGAGGCCTGGATTCCCTACAGTTGGATTTCTGTCCTTTGGTCAATCAGTACCTAATCACTTACAACCTACCAACATTTTCCCCTCTGTGGCCCATGCAATCCAAGGCAATCCTGGCTTTCTTTGCACCGAGCTCCCCACAGCATGTCTGTGTATTAGTCTGTTCTCATGCTGCTAATAAAGACATACCTGAGACAGGGTAATTTATAAAGGATAGAGGTTTAATTGACTTGGAGTTTCACATGGCTAGAGAGTCCTCAGGAAACGCAATCATAGCACAAGAGGAAGCAAACACATCTTTCTTCACATAATGGTAGAGAGAAGAAGAAATGAGAACCCAGCAAAGGGGGTTTCTAAGTTTTTATAAACCCCCTTATAAAACCATCAGATCTCATGAGAACTCACTCACTATAAGGAGAACAGGATGAGGGAACTGCTCCCATCTCCCATGATTCAGTTCTCTCTTCCTGTCTTTCCTATGACACATGGGGATTATGGGAACTATAATTGACAATGACATTTGGGTGTAGGGACACAGCCAAAACATAACAGGGTGTAAAACTGCTTCTCTGGATTGATTTGAATCCCACCACTCTAGAAAGGCTGTTAAAATATTTCAGTTACAATACCTCAACTGAAAGGGTTGAGGAAACCATAGCAGTTACATATGTATAGGCTAAAGGATAAAATACTCTTGCTATCCCAGGATAAGGCACAGGGCCAAGGCCTTCCCTTGCCAACTGTGCTGCTGTGTATGCTTTCTTGATTTTACTCTCAGGTTTGGAGGAGGGGGATAGATACTCTAGTGAAGCCTTAACCATTTTTACTTTCTTTTGAATCCTCTCTTCCCGGGACTGGATTGTGGGGAGAAGTCTAAATGGAGCAATTCTCTACAACATACACATACCTGCTAACCCCACTCTCTTGCCCCGTAGCTAAGAAAGAATGTATTTACCTATAGAATTGTCCTGGTTCTTTCTTCTAAATTGATTGTATTATACAAGAACAACTATTTCAAGGGTAGGTCAAAGGCCATCACTTGCTCTCTTCCTGTTCTCTAGATGGCAGTGTCATTTTCACTTTCCTCCTA